AACCAGAAATTTAAAGGTTAAAAACAAGATGCTGTTTCTCAGCTAGAAACTGCACTGGGCCTCGTGACTCAGTCCTAACTCAGTCCTGAAGGAAGAAAAAAAAATCTGTGGCTGTGATGTTCTTGGGATGTGCTGTGCCAGGCAACTCAGAGATAGAGCCTGCCATTACACTAATCAGGGTTGTAAAATATGACAGATTCGAGCCTACAGAAACCAGGTGTCTTAAAGATAATTTGTGCAGAACAAAGACAGTTAATTAACTCTGACCCGCTGGTCACCCCTTATTAACTGACCAATAGCAGATAGATAAGATGCCCACCGCTCTGCACTAACTGTAATGATTGGCTTCTGTAATAAACACTTACATTGCAGTTTTTCCCCCTTAAAAACACCAGCCTTGCCCCAACTCAGGGTTCTCTGTTTCCACCTGTTTGGAGGACCCCATGTACATGGAATAATAAAAACCCCTTTGTTCTTACATGAGAGTGAGGCCCTTGGAGTCTTTCTTGCAACACCAGTCTTACACAACATCAGCCAAATGATTTCCTTGGGCAAGAGTCCCTGGGAGGTTGGAATGAGCTTGCAGATGACCGATAAAGAACTTACGATGGCCAAGCCATATGAAGCATTGTAATTGTTTGAACAGATTTGAAGCTGGGGAATCATGACATATGGTAGCAACAGTCTCTAATAATGGAACAGACTGAGCAAGGTAAGCACTGTCAGTATACAAATTAAATGGTCGGTCAGAGTAAGCAGCAAAGGCTGCAAGAATACCTTCTAACTCTGCTAATGGTGCAGAGGAAGTTTCTGCTTGGAGGGTAGAAACATTGTCTTGGGATACATAAGCAGCCCTTCTGGAGGATGAGCCATCAGTGAATAACACCAGGGCACCTGGAAGGGGTTGTGAAGCTGTGACTTTAGGGAATATAAATGGGTGATGATTAGCAAAGTCAACTAGCTTATTTGGAGTGTAATGATTGTCAATAGTCCCTGAAAAGGAAGCTAAGGCAATAGGACACACTTCCGTACTCCGAAGTAGCCAATCTATTTGGTCTTTTGTAAAAGGTTGAATGATAATGTCTGGTTTTTTGCCAAAGTACATTTTCCTTGCTTTCTACCCTGAATTATTAGGTCTGAGACAGCTTGGAAATAAGGCAAAAGTGTTCTTTTTGGGGAGACTGATAAATGGACCCACATGAGGGGAGCTTGTTGCCAGAACACTGCTGTGGGGCAAAGCTTTGTATTAAAAATGAGAAACTGTAAAGGCTCATTGTAGTCCATAAAGGAAACAGTTTGTTGAGCAATAGCCTCTTCTACTTTACTGAATGCTCTCCTGGCATCAGGTGTAAGCTCTCGGGGGGAAGTTGGATCTATGTCTCCCCAAAGCAGCGCATAAAGGAGCTGTAAATCATGTTTAGTTAGTTTTTAAAATGGTATGAGCCAATTAAGTGTCTCCCAATAGTTTTTGGAAGTCATGAAGTGTTCTGAGGCCATCAAGCCTCAGTTGGGGCCTTGAAGAGAGTATTTGAGTGCTACATAATTGAAAACCCAAGTATGTATATAGAGCAGTAAGCTGTACTTTGTCAGGGGCTATTTGAAGTCCAGCCTCTTGTAAGGCAACCTGTAAGTCCTGGTAGCACATTAGGGTTTGGTTTTGATCAGCTCCGGCCAAGAAGATATTGTCCATATAATGAATAATATAGATATGTGGCCAATGATCTCTGACTGGCTATATTGCAGTGGCTACAAAAGACTGGCATAGTGTGGGGGAATTAGCCATACCTTGCGGCAAAACTTGCCATTGAAATCTCTGCATAGGGGCTTTAAAATTAATTGATGGGAGACTTAAGGCAAAACGCTTTTGGTCCTTTGGATGTAAAGGGATAGAGAAAAAGCAATCTTTAAAATCTTTAATTTTAAAAAATCCCAAGGGAATGTTACTGGGTGAGGAGATGCCTGGCTGTAGGGGCCTCATTAAGACCATTGTCTTATTTATCGCCCTAAGTACTTGTAGCAGCCTCCATTTCCCTGACCTTTTCCGGATAACAAAGATAGGTGTGTTCCAAGGGGAATTACTAGGGACAAGGTGGCCTGCATCTAACCGGTCCTGCACAAGCTGCTGTGCGGCTGCAAGCTTTTCAGAGGTAAGGCCACTGATCGACCCATACCGGCTCTTCTGACAGCCATGTAATTTGTTTAGCATGGATCGCAGGAGTGTCAATGGCCCCTAAGAAAAATGGCCTAACTGAACTTTAGCATTGTTAGGGATGGGAATGATGGGATCAATAATGCCCATGTTATTTTTCCTAAGCCCTGTTTTGGCAGGTAGCCCTTATTAAGCATTTTCATTGTGACAACATTATTAGGGCTTCCCATAATTAATCCCATTTGGGAGAGTAGGTCCCTACCCCATAAATTAAGAGGCAGACTCTCTATGACATAAGGTTGTAAGTGTCCCTGATTACCTTCTTGATCTCTCCAAACCAGTTGTTTGGAACTGCGTGGTGGATTTTTTGAGTGTCCAATCCCTTGGAGGTGTGTTAAGGTTGTTTCTAAAGGCCAGGCAGTAGGCCACTCCTCCTTTTTGATAATGGAAACATCTGCGCCTGTATCAATGAGGCCTGAGAAACTTTTTCCATCCAAAGATAGAGTCATGAGGGGTTTTTGTTTGGAGATACGTTGGGCCCAATATACATCAGAAGCTCCAGGAAAGGAGTTCCCCCTATAAGGAGTTATGGATTTATTAGATGTTTGACCCAACAGCAATAGCAGCAATTGAGCAAGGTGTTGTCCTGTCCTAACTGGTATGACACTGACAAGGGGCGAAACCATGACTTTTATTTCTCCTGTGCAATCACTATCTACTATCCCGGGTAGAACTTGTAATCCTTTAAGCATAGTGCTACTACGTCCAATAATAAATCCAAAAGTCCTGGGGGGAGGGGGCCCATAGATTCCTGATGGCATGATCTGAACACCCATGTCAGGGGTTAATACTGTGTTGGAGGTGGAACAGAGGTCCAACCGCGCACTCCCTGGGGTTGCCTTGAAGAGGTCTGAAATGGATGGTTTTTTGCTGGGACAAACCTTGGAACCCCACGGGTTTGTCCGGAATTGGGGCCTGGGGCCGGCCCCGTAACCTGTTTCCCTGTGGGGGAAGAGGGTTACCATGAACATCTCTTTTGGATTTGCACTCATTAGCCCAGTGGTCTCCTCACTTACATCTAGGACATAGCCCTGGTTTTTTTGTAGAGGACTGATTTTGATTTTTTCTTTTGCACTCACGAGCCGTGTGGCCATTTTGGCCACATTTGAAACAAATGGCATCTTTTTTAGGACGAGAAAGGGATTGTGTAACTATGCAACCTTGTTGTGTTGCAGCCATGGCTAGGCCTTGATAAACTGGCCCGATATCTGTACATAAGCGGATATAACCCGATAGGTCCTCTTTTTTGCGATGTGGTCGAATTGCAGCCTGACAATCTGAGGTTGCATTTTCATAAGCCAATTGTTTAACCAGGACAGTTTGTTTCTGTGGAGCTGAAAAGACGCTCTGCCACCTGTAAGAGGCGATCGACAAAGTCTGAAAAGGGCTTCTCAGGCTTTTATTTTATTTGGGTGAGAGATAAGGTAGGCTTGCCTCCTGAGGGGAGCCATTTCCATGCTCTAATGGCTGCCATATTAATCTGGGCAAAGAGGCCCAAATTGAACTGCATTAGGTTCTCTTTTGTGGCAAAATCTCCTGTTCCTGTAAGCATAGTGAGGATCCAGGTGTTTGGCCGGATGGCATTTCTCTGGCTATGTCCTCGCATTGATCAAAAAATTCAGATCTCCATAATAGATAATTGCCTCCAGAGATGGTGGTTTTTGCTAAGTCTTTCCACTCATTAGGAATAATGCAATCCTGAGTCAAAGAATCTAGAACTGCAATGGTGTAGGCGGCAGTCGGGCCATATTGAGAGACTGCGGCCTTTAACTCTTTTAAGGCTGCCACAGTGAAAGGTGTGTGTATCCTAATAGCTTGTGGTTCAGTGCCCTCTTCAACATCTCATGGGGGAGTAAAGGCCTCTGTGACTGGGAAAGCCGTTTTAGGCTGGCTGCTAGAGGCAGGCACCATTTTAAGCGCACTACAAGGCGTGCTGGAGGCAGGCTCCATCTCAGGGACACTATAAAACTGTGTAGCTCAGAGGGCCTGCAAATGAATTGAAAGATTTTGGCATTCTTTTTCTAGCTGTATCTGTTTTAAAAGATCCTTTTTTCTTTGCTCTAATTCCACTAATGTGCTAGAAGGTTGAGAGCAGATGCTGAGTGCATCATCATAGTCAGGGGATGGCCTAATAGTGGCCGGTGCTGCAACAGGGTTAGGGTGATATGTAGAGGCCTGTGTTGGTTGTTCCCAGTTGACCTCCTGAGAATCAGAAAAGCCAGGGTCTAAAGGCTTATATGAATCCCCAATTGGCAATGGAGGCACAGGGAGTGGCGGGCTGCCATCCTGGTACCTGCTGATCATGTCAACAGGTGGAAGGGGTGGCAGATCACCATGTACGAGGACCTCTAACAGGCTATCAATCCTCTGCATCTAAGAAATCAGAGGCTTCAGATTTTTCTGAGGATGGTTTTGAGGTAGATTTAACGGAGTCACGCAGGGCAGTCTCACCTAGTGCAACTGTCTCCTCAATCTGAGGCTCTGCATGCCTCTGGGCAAGCAGCTCAAAGATTAAATTCCAATATGTAAAGGTGGTCACAGGAACCTTTTCTGGACTGAAAACTCTATAATAATCTTTTAAAGCATCTCTTACTCTTTTCCACCTCTTGGTATCTATAGAACCCTCTAGGGCAAACCTTATGAATAAATTGAAAATACTGTAATAATTCTTTTGTTGCAACCCTTACCCCTCTTGTGTTTAGTGCCTTTATAAGACCTTCCACGAACACTTCATGTTCATTCAATACTTGACCCATGTCCGGGAAGGGAAATGGGGTTGCCGTTCACTCACCATGACTCGGACAAGACGTTGGGTAGTCGTCTGTGCAGGTCTCGGTACTTAATTTAATGTTCTGAAGCTTTAAGCTTTAATCCTTGATTCAGTTTACTCACTCCTCAGCAGAGGTCTCCGGTTCAATTTGCTTTCACTTTCAGTTTAAGCCGGCTGTCTCTCGAACGGCTTCCTCGTTAACTCCTCTGTGCCAGGATCTCCCACGCTGGGTGCCAGTTGATCCGGCCTGCAGATCAACATATCCAGAACTCCTGGAGGGGGAACAGGGATTAAATAAAAGACATGGGGGAGACAAAAGAGATGAAGGCAAGTCGAGATAATCCAATCAAGCCTTTGGTTTATTCAGAAAATTATCACACGTTTTATAGGCTAAGGGCGGGAGTTGGGACAGGAAGAGGTTAAACAGATGAATACAACAGGGTCACTGTCACATCCAGATACATGTCACAAACAGGAGAGGATTATGGTTAATGTAGGCAGATGCAGTGCCCATAGAGAGAGGCATGGAGGCAGCAATGCCTGTCATTCGGCTCCCTATACTCATTGGTTTGAAGTTGCTGCCCCCACTTTCAGCTCACAAGGCATAACACAGGCAGCAATGGGCTGCTTGGGAGTGGCTGGGGGGAGACAATGGTTTTCTTTAATTAAACTGCATGTGTAATCACTAAGGAGAGAAAAACAGAATGTATGAAGATTACTTTGAGAAATACTGGGACTATGTTCACTAGGTTAGACAAATATCAACCTAGTTTTCATTCCTTCGTAAGATATTCTCTGAAAATTAAGTGAATTTATTGACCTTCTCTACTTCACAATTATTAAATTATTGAAATAGACACATAACTTTGAGTCTTTCTAAATGTTCAAAGAATTCTTTGGTTTTTCTTTCAATTAGGTTAAAATTACAGCTTGGTTCTTTAGAATATTAGAATGTAAGTTGTGATGGCAATGATGCACAACAATGACTTTAGTTAAACTTAGGTTATCTTATTTATCCCCCCCAAAAAACACAATCCACCTAGTAGTATCAACACTGAATGCCTGTCATCTAAATGTTGAAAACCACTCATCTTGTATTTCTGTAGTCTTTACTATTCTGATAATGATTTTCCTTTTTTTATGCAAAATAGATAACCATAAAACCAATAAAAATCTTAAATATATCCAAAGTAATAGAATCATGCAAAATGATCTCTCAAAACATAGTGATTAAATAAGAAAGTCAGTAGAAATATAGTTAGAAAACAACAAATTTTCTCTTTTCTCCCTATTATCCATATAAACTTTTCTTAGAACGCAAGCCATGCAATGTTCAAGCTTATGTATTTAATCTACATCCCTCAACATTATGATCTCATTACATCCAAATTCCTACAACTGTTTCATATTTATCTTTCTTTAAGGTGTTACTCCATTCTTAGCAACAGTATATTTCTTTGAAATTATTCCTCCAGGAATGGGGACATACACCGTTTTCAAGACTTAGCTACTATTAATTGTGCTGCTGTAAACATGGGAATTCATACATCACTGTAGCTTAATATTTCTACCTCTTGTGGCAAGGTACGTAAAGGTTAATAGCCATGTAAAATGTAAATTACAATTGTAGTATTTAAGGACTCTCAATTCTGATTTCTAAAGTGCTTGTATCACTTTACACTCAAACCAACAAAGAAGAGTGGTTCCTTTTTCTTCACAGCCTCACTAACTTTGCTATTGGTGGACTTGGTGGTGGTAGTCATTCTTCCATGGGTGAAAGAGAATGCTGTTGTTGCTCTAATTTGCATTTCTGAAATGTGGGTTGTTAGGGAAAAATTAAAAGAAGCAGAGGTAAGAATTCAACATGACAGGTTTATTTCGAAACCAACTGAAAACACTACTCTGGGCTTCAGGTCTGACCAAGCCATGCCCCTGCAGGCTACAAAGACCTTTAGAAGTTCGTGAGTATCATAGGAAAGGCTGTAGGAAAAAATAACACTAGAACTTTTGAGGGCGAAAGCTCAGTATGGAGGCTGGCTATCTACTACAATAACAGATTGAAAACATACATAGAATTTTGTTTCATTTGTTAAGAAAATTATCAAAATTTATTGGAAATTCTCACATTTAGATGTGTTTCTGAGTCTTCTGGACCTTTAATACTGCATCTGAAGCCACATTAAAATGCATAATATGGGGAAGGTTTTAAAGTGGTCTGTGTTGTATTGGAGTGACAGTGGATAGATACTGTCTAAAGTGATACTGTAAAGTTTTTCATGTATTTATTGGCTGTTAGTGTTTCTCCAACTCAAAAATGATAATTCATTTTAGAATTGATTCTGGAAATAGAGAGTTTAATTTCTTCTGTGTTTTTCATATATTCTGGATGTTACTCTTTGTCTAACAACAATTGGCCATCATGTTTTCCCATTTTATAGATTTAGTATTCACTTGGTTGCTGGGTTCTTTGTCATAAAGCATATTTAAATATAATATGATCCTATTTGTGGATTCTTGGTATTATTTCTTGCACAATGGAAACTTTATTTAGAAATTCTTTGTATGCAGCTTATGTTTTGAATGTTTATGCATTTTTGTCTGCCAGCATATTAAGTGTTTTTGTTTTAATGCTGAAATTTTATTCTCATTTTTTGTATTATTATGTATGGTATCAGTTATGGGAAAAAGTTCAAATTTAAGCATGTTGGGCCATTTTTTGCAGTGCAATTTGTTCATCAGTCTGTTTTTCTCCAAAGAAAGTTTGGCTTCTTTGTGCAGGTCATGTAACTGTGTCTGGAGTTGTGTTTCTACCTTCTCTTCTGTGCAATGGGTCCACAATTTTTATTTTTACTTTTTAAAAACTTTTACTTAAAAGGAAAAAGAGAAAAACACAAAACAAAACAAAGCGGTGTTAGTGTACAAGTAATACAGAACTGCAAAAAAAAAAAAAAAAAAAAAAAACAGTAAGAAACCACCAGTTAATAGATTGCATATTATCATCTTAGAAATAGTTGCTCAAATCACAGTAGCAAAGAATACAAAGTGGACATTCAAACAGTGAGACTGCAAACAGTTGTGTTCAATAATCCAACCAAAAATATTAATATGGTCAGCTATTTAACACCCCTAAACACACTTGCTGTTGTATCCTTTAGAGTTCTTTTTTTCCCTCTCTTTTTTACAACAAAATTTACACATTTTGCGTTTTATTACTCCTTAGTTCTTGCTACTTTGTTTGGGGGGAGATCGAATAAAGTCAAATATGGCAAAACAAAGCTGTCAGTCAAAACCAAGGAGAGACAAAGCACATGATGTAAAACAGAGTACAAGGTTATCAACAATGGTTATCAACAATGTCTCTTGTTTCCTTAAAAAGAATTGTCTATCTTATTATATATTATAAAGTTGAACAAAACAGTAGAGAACAAGACCAATAAAACTTAAGCATTGTAAACATTACAGGACTTCCAAAGAGACAATAAGTCAAACCAGAATGGGCATCTTAGTGAATCTTATTGCCTTCAAAGTAGTTGCCTATACCCTCAAAATTGATACTATCATACAGAATGGAACAGAGTCTAATCAGTCAAAACAAGATCATGGGAGTATTACAGGACTTCAAAACAAGTTAATAGGAAATCACAAAAGTTACCCATTATATATCCTGCTAATTTTTAAAATTTTTCCCCTTAATTAAAACAAACATAAGAAATAACTAAATAATTTTTTAAAGAATAAGGGAGAGATTGAGATAAAACAGGACATAACAATATAACAATGCAGGTCAAAGCATGACTGTTTCAGCAACCTAGCACTTCACCACCAAATAACCCGACTTAATAGTAGTTACCATAGTGTCTGTCTTTTTCCTTGAAATAGTTGAATAAAACTTCGTATACTATAGCTTCAAATATTTCCATATCAAGAAGCCCAGAATTAAGCCTTTCCAATTAATAAGTGAAAACTTTATAAGGCTTCAAGGCCACATAATGGGGAATCATGATTACCACATATTTTTATATAGTTGAATCATTACTTACATTAGGGAAACTATTCGGTATTCACACATGTGAGATTGATTTATTTCACTTATGAGTATGGTCTCAAGCTGCGCCCATTTATTGATAAATAGCTCAATGTGATCCTTCTTTATAGCTGAATAATACTCCATTGTATAGAAATACCAAAAGTTTTTATCCATTCCTCAGTTGATGGACACTTGGGTTGTTTCCAAGATCTGGCGATTACAAATTGTGCTGCTATAAACATAGGTGCACATATATCACTGTGGTATGATGCCATCAGTTCTTCTGGGAATATGCCTAGAAGTGGAATAGCTGGAATAAACAGGACTTCCAATCCCACCTTTTTGAGAAATCTCCAGACTGACCTCCACAAAGGCTGCACCAGTCTACACTCCCACCAACAGTGTAGGAGAGTTCCTTTTTCCCCAGAGCCTCTCCAGCATTTGTTGTTGTTGGTTTTCTTGATCCTGGTCATTCTTTCCGGAGTGAGAAGGAATCTCAGTGTGGTTTTAATTTGCATTTCTCTAATGACCAATGATGATGAACATTTTTTCATGTATTTATTTGCCATTTGCATTTCTTCATCTGAGAAGTGCGTATTCATCTCAGATGCCCATTTTTGGATTGGATCTTTGAATTTTGGGGGTCTGTGTTTTTTTAATTCTTTATATGTTTTAGACAAGAGTCCCTTGTCTGAGAGAGAGTTCACTAAAATCTTTTTCCAGTTTGTGAGTTTTCTTTTCACTATGCTGGAGATTTCTTTTGACGTGCGGAAACTTTTTAATAAGAAGTGGTCCCAGTTATTGATTCTGGGAAGTATTTCCTGTGCAGTTCGAGTCCTGTTCATGAATTCTCTACCTACTCCTATGTCTTCAAGGTTTCAACCCAATTTGTCTTCCAAAAGATTTAGTATTTCTGTTTTAATATTCAGATCTTTGACCCATTTAGATTTTAATTTAGTACATGGTGATAGACATGGGTCTAGCTTTAGCTTTAGGCAAATGGAGAGCAAGTTTTTCCAGCACCATTTATTAAAGAGACTGTTGTTCTTCCAGTGAACCTGCTTGGCTCCTTTATCAAAGGTAAGGTGGTTGAGTGTGTTTGTAGTTGTGGTTGTATCTTCTAATCTATTCCATCGATCTTCGGCTTTGTTTTGATTCCAATACCATGTTGATTTTACTACTGTTGCTTTGTAGTATAACTTCAAGTCAGGGA